GGCTAATTTATGGTACTGTGTGTGGTCCATGGAATCAGGAAGAGGTGGGTTCAAATCTGGCCTCAGACATTTCCTAGCTGTGTGATCCTGGGCAAGTCACTTAACTTCAGTCTGCCTCAGTTTCCTCAACCATAAAATGGGGATAATAGTACCTACCTTGAAGGGATGTTGTGAGGCTAAAGTTAGCACAGTTTCTGGCAAGTAGTAGGGACTATATAAATGCTTATTCCCTTCCCCTTCTCTATGAAACTAGAGGTCATATCCCAGTTCCCAGACTTACTAGCTTCCTGATCATAGTCAAGGTCAAAGAATTTTGCCAGAATTGGAAGGAACCTTGTGATCTCCTTGAGATCAAAGACTGCCCTTTGCCTTCCTTTTTATCTTTTCCTTAGTGCTTAGCTCAGTGCCTGGCACATAGCAGGCACTTCAATCAATCAATAAACATTTATGAAGCACCTACTATGTGCCTCCTGGCACTGTGCTCAGCCCCAGCTGAGTAAGAATATTCTCTAGATCGTATCAGACACGTGATCGTCCTACTTCTTCTTGTAGTTCTTTAGTAAGGAGGGACCTGCTATCTCCAGAAGCAGTTAATGCCAATGTTTAAATAATTTCGAAGTTTCCTCTACCACTTCAACTTTTACCCACTGCACCTAATTCTGGCCACTGGGGCCAAGCAGCACAGGCCTAATCCCCCTCTCTATTTGATTTTCTTGAAGTAGATGAAGTAAGCTATCAGAGCATGTCCCCTATAAGCCATCCCAATCATTTGGCCCTTCTGGCTGTCAGGTACTTCCTCTTTATGAGGGGAATAATACTAGTCTCTCCTACTTCCAGCATTCTGAGGAAAGAGCTCTGTAAACTGGAAGATGCTACAGAAGATGCTGACACCTCTGCCGGTGTCTCCAGGGTCCTACCTCCCACTATTCCCACAGTCCCAGCAGCCCAGCCCACTCCCACCCCTCCAAGGGATCATGTAGCAGAGGTTTTCCACCTTAGCTGTTCTTTCCTTTCAGGTTTATTTGGGCAAATAGCCCAGGCCTTTCTGCACACTCTCACCCCAGTCACATCCCTCTACCCCATCTGTTTCTGTGGGTCCGGCCTTAGCTTTCAGTCCCCAGTGCCTCAGTTTCTTCCTCTGTGCAGAGGGGCATACCCTTTAGGAAATGTTGGCTTCTTGAGATTGCTTCAGAAAGTGCATCCTCCAATGACTAAGAGGAAACTAGCCCAGGAAGGGGCTCAAAAAATGTACCAGGAGTATTAAAGCCCTGAAGTGCACAAATAGAAACCCCATCCTCCCTAATCACCAAGGCAAGGTCCTTCCCCCATCCAAGACTTCTCTTTATCATAGAAAGCTATGGCTCAAAGGAACCTTAGAGATCATCTTATCTAACTCTTCCATTTTACAGATAAAAAAAAAGACCGAGGCCTAGCTAGGGAAGGGAAGTGACAGGCTCAAAGTCACCCAGATGGTTAGTGTCAGCCACAGAACCCAGGAATCCTGACTTCCTGTGCACTGCTCTTTCCACACCATTGTGGCTGTTCATTTTAACCCAGTTTCCCCTGGATAACAAAGAGGGAAGGGGAAGGGGCAAAGAAGTGAGCCCCTACTGGAGATGTCCCTGGTTTGAGGGGAGCACACAGAAAAGGGTGTTTGACTCAAAGGACCTTCCTGATCTCACTCCCCTAGAAGGAGAAACAAGCTGGGGAGCGTCAGAACTCCATGGGAAAGGCTTGGGTTCAGATCCCACCTCTGAAGCTTGCTGTGTGTAACTTTGGTCCATTCATTTAATCTCCCCGACCTCCATTTACTCACTTATTTGGAATCAGCCTGAGTGGTCCGGTCCCAGGCTTGGGCTTGGAGGTGGGGCAGGATTCCCAGCCAGACCTGAACAAGGCATTTTCAGCCTGGGAAAGGTGTAACTGTCCACCTGTAAACTTTGAGCCTTCACTGACCACATGTAACAACTTATTACAAATAAGGAACAAAATCTAGACATAGGATGTCAGAGCTGGAAGGGACTGGAGAGATCATCTAATCCAGTCTCTTCAATTTATAGATGAGGAAACTGAGGTTCAGCCAGCCAGGTGAACAGAAAGTTTAGGAACAATTTTCTAGTATTAAAATGTAGATGCACTTTTCCCCCCCTGAACTTAATTCATTGGTGTAAAGAGTGCCCTGTGAGAAAACTCCCTCAACCAGTCCAGTAGTCCAACTCTCAACAAGTTTGACTTAAGAGAATTGCCTGGAGAAGTTAGCCTAAGGTCAGACAGCCTGTAAGGTCTGAGGTGGGATTGGAACCTAGGTCTTCCTGGTTCTGTGGCCAGATTGCTATCCGCTATGGCAGGCGGCCCCTATGTGCAGCAGAGAAAGGCAAATGCATCTCCCTTAGAGCTCCTGGTTTGTTGTGCAGTAAGTGGCCACAGATCTTGCATATCCCTAATCTGGGCCCTGGGCCCCTGGGGAAGATCTTGGGGGCAGGGATAAGTGTGTGTCCACTCCCTTTTCTTGCATTAGCAGGCTCACCCAGTCTAACGACACCCTGAAGGGGGCGGCGGGGGGGGGGGAGAGTTTAAGGGGCCCACCCTCACCCCGGGTCAGTACTGAAGAGGGGTCCTCGGAGCCCACCCCAGTCCCGCCCAGTACCCCTCTGCCTGCCTGCCGGAGGGACTCTGAGTCAGGCGCTAAACAGCAGGAACTGGGCGGGGGGACCGGGCCAGGGCCGAGGGGAGGAGCTGGAGAGCGAGGCTCAGCCTCAGCTGCTGCGGGAGCCCGAGCAGAGCCCAGCCAGGCGGGACCGGTGCACCAGGGCTGATTAGGCCCGAGCAGGTCAGCTTCACGGGGCCGGTTGAGGTCCGGTGTAGTGGAGCCACCCCCACCCACCATGAACTCGAGAAAGAGAGGTAACCGCCCCCCTCCCCCCTCGCCTCCTAGGGAGGACTGGCAGGGATGCGGGGTGCTCAACTCTGGGTTTCTAGGGCTGGAAGACCTGGGTGGACAGAATAGGAATATAGAGAGGGCAGTAGTCTAGTCGTGACTTGGTTTCCCTTCTTGGAACTCAGGAAGACCGGCAGGGGCGGGGCTTTTCCCGTCATAACCCCCAGAGCCCGAGACCCCTCCTTCCAACGTTTCTCCCCTTCCCTCCCCTCCCCCCCATCCGGGAATCCCCTGCTGTGCTCTGGACTTTAAAACCTGGGACTCCTCCAGACTGACTTAGGGGATCAGGCAGAACCCAGAAGGAGGGGAACAGAGGTAGCTGAGGAGCGTCCTTGCCCCCTTGGGTGGCCACATCTATTTATCAATCCTGCTGGCAGCTCCCGGGCTCCTCCAGAGTCTCCCCAGACCCAAGCATCTGGGCTCTGATTTGGGGGCGGTAGAGTGGGTTTGGGAGCAGGCACAGAATGACAGATTGTGTAGGTGTGTATGTGCTACCCCGTGGCCCGGGATCAGGGAGAGGTCAGGCTGGTTTCGGGGAAGCAGGTTCAACGCCGCTCGGGTCTGGCTACCTCCTACCTCCCGTTCTGCCCTGTGCCCCATCCTGGTCCCGACTCGTGGCTGTCATCATTATTATCACTACTAATAATTAATAGCTTACATTTCTGTAGGCCTTTAAGGTTTGAGGGACTCTGACCCTCAGGGCCTCTCCTCTCTTCCCCCACCTCTACTGGGAGGGCCTGAGAAGCTCCGCCTGTCTGCCCCCCACCCCTGCCCAGCCCCCAGGGGCCTTAAGTGCAAAGTTAGGCCACAGCACCCACGTTTTGGACCCTTCACTTTTCCCTCCCCTTCCAAGCCTTGGGATCATAGGGAAGGGTAAATAGTTTAAGTGAGGGGAGGGGGGCTGGAAATGGAGGGCTGAGGAGGCCAGAAGGGGCAGCCCCGCCCACTCGTGTCTCTGGGGTAAACACTCGCTTCCTTCCATTCTTCAGAATATGTTCCTTCCCTTTCCTGCCCCCTCCCAGGGCCAGGCTTGATGTGTCAGTGTCTCTGTGTATGTGTTGGGGTTGGGGGGGGGTGGCCCGTGTAGCTTAGGGAGGGAATCTCCCAGAGATAATGGTGGGAGGGCCAGCTCTGGCTGAGTCAGTCCCAGGTCCAGCCAGCTGTGATTCTGCCATGCACTTTTGCCAAGGTTTTTCTCCATCCCCTCCCCTCCTCTACCTTGACCTCCCCTGCCCTCCCCCCCAGTCTTCACCTATCCAAGTCATCTTTCCTAATCCCTTCCCCTTGTGGGTGTCTCTGGAGCTGGGCCAGGGCCCTGGGGCAGAGAAGGCTCTCTGACCTAGGCTTTGGAGGCAGAAGGTGGAAGCTATGAGGGGATGGGATTGTTATTTGGGAAGTTGGAAGGGCTGCAGGAAGGAGATCCCGGTAGCTGCCAAGCAGAGTCTGCACTCCACCTGCCTTGCAAGCCCTGTGATTACCTCTGTTCTCTCATTACCTCATGTTTTGACTGGGAACATCCCTGCTGAGAGATGGTGTCTAAGGGAAGCTGTCTTCTCTCCCTTTTCCCACCCCAGGGACTGCCCTGTTTGGAATAGTTAGCCCCAGGGCAGTGAGCAAGAAAGGCGCCCTAGGATTGGCATTTAGGGGTCCAGCCAGGACTTCTCCCTCCTCCTCTCCTCATCTTCCCTGATCGGATTACATCTGTAATCCTACAGTGAAGGGGGAGGGAGTGGAAAGCTGTTGTCACAGAGACAGAAGGACTGGATAAAAGGGGGGCAGGATCCCCTTCTCACCCTGTCCTTTAAAGCTTAGCCAACTGGACCAAGTTGTGACGGTCAGGGGTTAGAAGTCTGGAGCCCTGGGTTCAGTTCTAGAGCCCTCTGCTCCATTTCTGTCCTGTCTCTGCCCTGACCCCAGCTTCAGGGAAGAGCTGGGGGAGACTCTGGGATTCCCACTCCCAGGACGATGTTCTTGCTGAACTTCAAGCTTGGTCCTTTGCTCCCTGAGGGTTGGGAAATTCATCTGCCTCCTCCTCCTCTTATGTCCTTCCTCTTCCCATCAGGGAGCCCATCTCGGACTCACTCGATGATGTCGCTGTCTGTTCGGCCCCAACGTCGCATTCTCAGCGCCAGGATCAGTAGGAGCCAGTCCTTCGCAGGGGTCTTGAGTGGCCAAGACCGGGGGGGGCAGGTACTGAGGGGACAACCGAGGGTGGAGAGGGTCTAGAGTGGGCAGCTGATAAGAATGGGATATGTGGAGAAGGGATGTAAGAGGTGGAAGACATATGGTGCCAGTGAATTTGTGGACTCTTCCTGTCCTCATTCTGAACTGCTTCCTCTCTCCAGGAGCCTAACAGCCTTCAGCCCCCCTGTGGCTCCCCGAAAAACACCTGCCATCGTCCGAGTCTCCAGAATGTTTTCCATGGCACACCCACCTCCAAAGGTGCCTCAGCCAGAGCGGCTGGACCAGGTGTATGAAGCCCTGAAGAGGGGTCTAACGTAAGGATACTCTTCCTTTCTTTCTAGGCCAGTCCCCAAATGACCTACAGGACTCTCTCCCATCATAATCCTGGGGAACCCCCCCCATCCACAGAAATTTTAGGTCCAACCCCCTACTATTCCCCAAACCCCCTTTCCCACACATATACTCTTTTTTATAGTATTTTTTCCCCAATTACATATAAAGACAATTTTTAACAACATTTAACATTCATTTTTAATAAGATTTTGAGTTCCAGATTTTTCTCCCTCCTTCCTCCCTGCCAGATGGTAAGCAGTTTGATATAGGTTATACCACACATGTACTGTTATACCAAGAATCCTACCTACCCCGCTGTCTTCCCCAGCGATGACCTGGAATCCTGCCCCTACCTACACCACACCAGCCCCCCCACCCCCAAGACTGAAGGCCATATACAGACAGACCAAGCTGTGTCTTGGTTTCCTCTTTGAGAAGAAATGTGTGAATTTGCCTGGGAATACTGCTTGAATGAGTATGTGTGAATCTGCCTGGGGAGAACCTAAACATTTTCATACTCCTTCCCAGGGCCTATCTGGAGGTGCATCAGTTAGAACAGGAGAAACTCCAAGTTCAAATCAGAGAATCCAAGAGAAACTCTAGGCTGGTGAGTGATTTGGGACCTTTCCTTTCCTTTAGACCACTAGCATGAGTTGAAAAGAGCCCTTGGGGAGAGCTTGGGGGAGAAAAAGCAATCTCTCTGTATTGGATTGTGGGTGGGCTGATTCCTGGTTACTGTCACTTGGGAGGGATCTCTCCCTGCCATTGCCCAAGATGGCTCAGGAGAGGCCACTCATGTGATCCCACAGTACACCTAGGACATTTTTGGACTCTTTCCTGATTCCAAAAGTTTGAACTATTGGTAATAGCCTTCTAAATGGTCTCTCTGTATCCAGACTCTTTCCTCTCCTATCTCTCTTCCACATTTCTGCCAAAACAATCTTCCAAAACCCAGGAGTGACCTTGAACTTCCTCCAATGGCCTCCTGTCACCATAGCAAATACAGAACTCTCAATCTAGCTTAAATCGATTTCCAGTCAGGTTGAGTTTTATTTCACATTACTCCAATTCACACCCTCTGCATTCCAGCCTAGTGGGACAAGTAGCTCTCCCCCAAATTCAGCATTCCATGTCCATGCATTCATACATATAGGCCTTCTACCATGCTTGGAAGGCACAGCCTCCTCCTCCTCATCCCTTGTCATAACCTTTGTATTCTTTCAGAGCCTTACTTAGGCACTGCCACTAACTTCTCTGTGAACCAACCTTTCTTTTCCTCCAATTATTAGTATTCTTTCCTTCCCTAAACAACCATTGACATATTTATCTTCTTCTTCTTCTTCTTCTTTTTTTTTTGTGAGGCAGTCAGGGTTAAATTACTTGCCTAGGGTCACACAGCTAGTATCATGTGTCTGAGGTCGGATTTGAACTCAGGTCCTTCTGACTCCAGGGCCGGTGCTCTATCCACTGCACCACCTACCTGCCCTGACATATTTATCTCTATACATATTGCATCCCCCTAATTTTGTATGCCCCTTGAAGGGTGGGGCTGTGTAATTTTTGGTTTCATATACTCAACATCCTGGAGCTGTGCCCTGAACATTGTCATTCAGTCGTATCCTATCATTGTAACCCCATTTTTGGGGGATTCTTGGCAGAAACACTGGAGTGGTTGGCCATTTCCTTTTCCAGATCATTTTGCAGATGAGGGAACTGAGGCAAACAGGGTGACGTGACTAGCCCAGGATCACACAGCTAGTACATGTCTGAGGCCAGATTTGAGCTCAGGAAGAGGAGTCTTCCTGAGTCTAAGCCCAGCACTCCATCCATTGCTTAATCAAAGTTGGTGAAATTTAATTGAATTCTTCCAGGACTTATTCCTTCATCTAATCTGTTTGGTCTCCCCGCTCCCTTCTTCACCCAGGTACTCAAAAGTTCTCCTGCTATTGCTATAGGTTAAAGGAAAGAATTTAATGAAAGAAAACTAAAAGGTAGAAAGTACCTAAAGTTGTAAAAGAGAGTTTAGAATAGCGGAAAGCATCTTGGACTAAGATTCAAGAGACCCAGATTCTGGGCTTGGCTTTGCCACTGACTATGTGGAAATTCTTAGAAGATGCTTCTTTCTGGTCCTGTTTGCTCCTCTGTAAGATCTCAGGGGTTCTAAGGTTCCTTGCAGTTCTGATGTGGTTTGAATCCAAGGACTGGCTTTGTAAGCCCACCCCAAGCCACCAATGTTATTCTTGTCCCACAAAGCAGATCAAACTTGTGCTCTTAGCAAAGTTCCACCTTCCAGCCTTGGGACTGTCTCTTCCATTTCTGTGCCTTTTTTTCCATCCTGGCCCATCCTTGGCTCTCTTCTTGGCCCTCTCTCAGTCCCATCCCTTCCTAGGGCACTTCTTGACTCAGAAGTGGCCAGGTGTTCCTAAGGCATGGCATTCCCTGTCTCCCCAAGCCCTCCCCTATACCCGTCCATCACAGGTCTTACAGAGTGGTGAAAGGGGCCTCTCTGGCATTAATGACACAGAACACTGTAATTTAAATGAAAAGCTCAGTTCACAAAGGGTCACTTCACAACATTCCCCCAACCCTCAGAGCCCTTCAGAATCTTGAATATAGGTTAGGGAATAAAGAATGATGGGATAAGAAGGAGCTAAGCCAGCAGTGTGTGGGTAAATGTTTAGCACCTGGCTGGGGGGCTTGGGGGAGGGAGTGGGAGTATAAGCAGACACTTTTAAATTTAATATGCATTATTAAGATTTTCTCCATCACTTCCTCAAGTCTAGACAATCAGCAAAACAATATGTCATGCCCTGATGTGTAGCATGCCCATCTTTCTGAGGAGTAAATGCTCACACTGAACACTTAACAACAGGTTCTTGCCAGGGGATTGGAACTCCAGCACGTCCCCAACCCTTCCCTTTGCCCTTCCTCTTCTCACAGCCATTTCCAGGGAGGGGAACTAGAGAGGGTGCTTCACATATCCAGCTAAGTCCAATAGGTTTCTGTCCCCCTCTTTCCTTTATCCACATATAAGGTGACCCCAACAATAGGGCAATAGGTGCTTCATTCTGCACACCCCTGCTATCCAGGACCCCCATCTCTTATCTTACCTTAATTTTTTTTCCCCATACAGGGCTTTCTCTATGAGTTGGACAAGGTAAGTGAATCTGAGACAGAAGTTGGGGGCTGACTGAGAGAATAAGTCAGGGTATGAGAGATCAGAAGGTTGGGGAGAGGGAACAGAAAGAAGCAGCCCCTTCCTCCCCTCCCCCACATGCCAACCAGCCCTTTTCTCACCAAAATCTTTTTTTCCACAGCAAGTGAAATCTATCGAGCGTTTCCTCCGGCGCCTAGAGTTCCATGTCAGCAAGGTGAGAGGCATAGAACTGTGATGGGGATTGGTAGGGGAAAGGCAAGGGAAAGATTGAGACATTGAGCTAAAATGCCAGGGCTGGTGCTTTTCTCCTTGGGGTGGAAGGGGTGGCTCTTGGAGATTCCCAGATTACAGAACCAATGAAGGTGAAGTTGCTCAGTCCTCGGGGGCTGCCTGGTTGGATGCTTCTCACTCATCTCCACCCTCCTCTGATCCCTTCTTGGTCCTCTCCTCCAGATTGATGAGCTGTATGACGGATATTGCATCCAGCGGCGGTTACGGGATGGAGCACACAACATGGTTCGGGCTTATACTTCAGGGACTCCTGGGAGTCGGGAGGCCAGGGACAGCCTGGCTGAGGCTACTCGTGGGCACCGGGAATACACAGAGGTGAGAAGGCTGATTGGCATGTGGAGTAGGAGTAGGGCAAAGCTCCTTTGTAAGACTTTTGAGGAGGCCTGGGGAGGGATGACGATTTTTGATCCTCTCTCCTTTCCTGTCCCCAGAGCATGTGTTTGCTGGAAAGTGAACTTGAAGGACAATTAGGTGAATTCCACCTCAAAATGAAAGGTGTGTGTAAATGGTGGGGAAGGTTACAGCCTAGCTTAGTGAAAAGATATAAGGAGGACATAAGGAGCCCCAAAAGAGGGAGGGAAACTTGAAAGCTCTCAGACTCTCTCCAATTCTCTTTTCAGGGCTAGCTGGTTTTGCCCGGCTGTGTGTTGGGGACCAATACGAGGTACTGTGGGAACGGTGAATGAGGTGGGTGGGGTGGGAGGAAGGTATTAGGCATGAAGTTGTTTTTACCAGTGGATCTTCTGTCTCTCGGGGAAGTGACTTACAGGGCACCATCCTTGTCTCTGGTAGTCGCTATCACTTCTCTGTCAGGTGGAGGGTTGGGGATGAAGTTGTCCATTGTCCCTCCTCCTCAGATCTATATGAAATATGGGCGTCAGCGCTGGAAGCTACGTGGACGAATCGAAAGCAGTGGGAAGCAAGTCTGGGACAGCGAGGACATGGTCTTCCTGCCACTGCTCACAGAGTTCCTCTCCATCAAGGTGACTATGGTTTCCTTTCTCCCAGAGTCCTAGCCCTTTCCATTCCCAACCACAGTCCTTCTGGGTAGACACAAGCTCTCGTCTGTGGCTCTCCCCACTACTGACTGTCCCCCTGGCCTGCCCCACAGGTCACAGAACTAAAGAGCTTGGCGAACCATGTGGTTGTGGGCAGTGTCTCTTGTGAGACCAAAGACCTGTTTGCTGCTCTGCCTCAGGTTGTCGCTGTGGATATCAATGACCTGGGCACTATCAAACTCAGCCTTGAGGTCACTTGGAGGTTAGTGCCTGGGAAGGGGCTGCCATTTGACAAAAGAAAAGAAAGGGCCTTTTGTCCGATAGGGGAGCGGCAATTGTTACTGTCTCTAGCAACACCCTGACTTTCCCCTTCAGTCCCTTCGACAAGGATGACCAACCTTCAGCGGCGTCCACGGTCACCAAGACCTCTACTGTCAGCAAACGCTTTTCCACCTATAGCCAGAGTCCTCCAGATACCCCTTCACTGCGGGAACAGGCTTTCTATGTGAGTGATCCTTAAGCTCCCCAGGTGAGGGTCACCCCGTCAGCTCCCTTCCGAGACTGCCCCAAGGAGTGGCCCACTGGGCAAGATTGCTCAGCGCCTCAGACCATGCTGTCCACGTCACTGTCTTCGGTGGGGGTATCACCTCAAGACCCCAGGAGTCTTGCCCTCTTTTCTCCTCTGACCCAACCCTAGGCAATAGAGTCTGATTGGAAGGAATGGTGTGAAGCTCCATGAATGAATTGGGGGGGCTCTGATCGGGTCCTGTCTCTTCTCTTTCTTACATGCCTCTTGCCCCTGCTTCTCCCTGCCAGAACATGCTCCGTCGTCAGGAGGAGCTAGAGAACGGAACGGCTTGGTCTCTGTCCTCAGAATCTTCAGATGACTCCTCCAGCCCCCAGCTGTCAGGGGCTGCCCGCCTCACCCCACCCTCTCGGCCCCTGGTGCAACAACCCGAGGCTCCCCCGATCCACATTGCCTTCTCTCGACCAGAGATTCCCCATCCCTCAGGGGAGGCCCTGGAGGAGGAGGGGGCCAAAGCCCCAGTCTTGGCCAATGGGCACATCCCCTATAGCCGAACTCTGAGCCATATCAGTGAGGCCAGTGTAGATGCTGTGCTTGAGGCTACCAATGAATCTGTGGCCTCAGAGAGCCGTGCCCAGGGCCTCACCTCCTCTGTACACCTAGACTCTACTGACACTACCCCACTCCCTGTTCTAGAGGCACATCCAGACCCCTTCAACCCAAGCCCCACCCTCTCTTGTTTAGACCAGACCACTTTGCATGAAGGCCTTACCCCCTCACCCTCAGAACCAGTCACTTTAAATCTGAAGTCCTTTCCCTCACATCCAAGACCGTCTGAGTCTGATATTACCCAACTAGGCCCCCTCCCCCCCACCTCAGATCCCATATCCTCTTGCCCAGACTCCATCGCCTCCCATCCAGCGCCTGAAACCTTGCACTCTGACCATGGCTGTATCCACCCAGACTCTTCCCCCTCACACTCAGACCTTGCCCCTGTGTTCCCACTTACCAGTCCTGAACTCACAGACCATGTTTCTCCTTCCCCAGCCCCAACCCTACTGCACTCAGACCCTGCATCCCGACACTCAGATTCATCTTACCCCCATTCATACCCTGCCTCGTCACATACAGATCCCACCCCCACACAGTCACCCCTCACAGACCATGCCCCCAGTCCCCCTGTGGTGCCCCAGGTTCCAGTCCAGGAGGCAGCTGGTATTTCCCTAACAGAGGCCAAAGTTCTTCCTCAGAAGGGGCTGCTGGAGCAGGGAGCAGGGCTGAGGGACACAGGGCTGGAAGAAGCCCTGGGGGCCTTGAGCTCTGCCCCTGGATGACTATCGGGGCCAATTTCCAGAGCTGCAAGGACTGGAGCAGGAGGTGACTCGGCTCGAGAGTCTACTTATGGTGAGAGGGAATGGACATGGGGAGGACAGGAAGGGAAAGAAGGAGGAAAGAATGATCCATCACCCCCTCCTCTACCATTTCTGCAGCAGAGACAAGGCATGTCCCGAAGCCGGGCATCCAGCCTCAGCCTCACTGTGGAGCATGCACTGGAGAGCTTTAGCTTCCTCAATGATGATGAAGATGAGGATGACGGGCCTGAGGACAGGTGAAGAAGGGGCTGGGGTACAGGTGAGGGAGGGACCGTTGAGAGATTAAGAACACAGAAGAGTGAAAGTGGAGGGGGAGCTGAGGGGAGGACAGTTAGGATTTACTGGGAAGGGGACCTGTATCTAACCTTTCTCTCCAGCTCTCCCCTGTGTTTCCATTTTCCCCAGTTACCCCCTTCCTGGGTCGTTGCCCCCACCCCGCCTTCAAGTGTCTTCCTTAGAGTCTTCAGGACACCCCCTCCCAGTACCCCTGATCTGTCTACCTCTAGCTCTGCCTCTCTCCCTCAGTCTCATTTTGGACCTGCTCTCTGGACATGCCCCCCCATCATCTCCTCACTCACCCATGGCTGGAAACTGGCCTCATCATCTTCATCTCTCCCCTTCGGCCCTCACTCCCTCAGCCCAACATAGGCGGAGGCTTTGGTCCCTTGATGAACTCCCTCGGAGCAGCTTTCGTACTGTCCACCTCACTGACCGAGTTTTGCCCCTTCTCCCCTCGCCGCTGCTCCAGCCCAAAGCCTCAGCACCTCTGTCCTCCCGCCAGAGCCCCTGTCCCTTCCTTTGGTGCTCTGTCAGACGGTCACTTCACCGACGGCCTTCCCATTGCCAACCTGGTGACCTCTCTTCCCAATACTCAAAATGCCAGCACCAGTCTTCTGCCCCTCTGACTACATTTACTCTCTGCCCTCCCTGAGATCCATTTCATCCCCACTCAAATACACTCCCATCACTACAACCCATGGTGGCCCCTGCTCAGAGGTCTCCACAATCCAGGAAGTCCAGTTATCGCAGCCATGTATGTGTATGTGAAGTCATCCTCCATGTGATGATTCATGTGCTGTTCTACACCAGCTATCCATCCTGTCTGTATCTAGAGGTGGGAGAGGGGGCTGAGGATGGGTATACATCTCAATAAATGTACACTGGGCACAGTGAGGGTGATACTCTGCCTCTGATGATCTGGATAGCAGGTGCTCACCACTCAGGTCTCTCCTGCAGGATGTTGAGCAGCCCAGGGCCTGGGTCTGAGGCTGGGGTTAGTGGTGTGTCTGAGGATGCCCTGGACTCCTCTACGCCTGGCCCCCTCAGCACTGGCTGCCCTGCCCTGGACACAGCCCTGGTCTTGCACCTACAGCACTGTGGCCACCTCTTGCTGGTGAGGCCAGCAGCCCTCCCCTCCAATACATTAACCCATTACTGACCCCAAGAGTCTAGCACACTAGGACCTTTAGCCTCCATTACCCCGTTGCACGCTTGTAATCTCCACCAGCATTTTTTTTAACCTCAGATGGACACACCTGCCCTTTGCATGCTGGGAGTTGCAGTCCCTGGGCTCCACACCATATTTCTAGGTCCCCTGTGCTACCCACCACCCCCAACCCTGAATAGGGGATGAGTAGAACTCCTACTCCCTGTGTCTGAGGTGGCCCTGGCTGGTCTCTGCTCTTCAGAAACTAGGCACCTTTGGGCCCCTACGATGCCAGGAAGCATCAGCATTGGAGCGGCTGCTTCGGGAGGCCCTGGTGCTGGAGGTGGTGTGCCAACTTTGTGGGGGGCAAGTGGGCAAGGCCACCTCTGCTCAGGAAGGTAAAGGTACCCACTCCCTTCCACCCTGGAGCAAAATCGGGAAATCTGCGTCTGTCCTTTCTCCAGAATTCTGCCTTTTGTCGTCGTGTCCCCCCCCCCCGAGACCTGCCCCCACTCTCCACCCCGCCCAACAAGCCCTCCATTCACCTACCCGCTGCAGCCCCTCATCGGCCCTCCTGGTCCCCCTGACTGTTTCCCCCCACGCCCCTCCCCCACCAGTGCTGCAGTTCTCTGTTCCCCGGCCGGGCTTCCTGCCTTTCTGGGACCTGTGCACTGAGGGAGGCAGCCTCTTGGTTTGTCCTGTGGAGCGCATCCTCTTCACCTTCTGCAGCCAGTATGGAGCCCGCCTCTCGCTGCGCCAGCCAGGCCTGGCCGAGACTGGTGAGTGACAGTCCCCGTCTTCCCCACGTGCTAGCCAAGCCCTCGCACAACCCCCTCACAAACATGTCCTTAGCGCGTACCGTGTTCAAGGCGGAGAATTAACTGAGACGCACCCAAAATGTATGGCATACTGGCCAAGCCCAGCGAGTGCGTGTGGAGATGGCGCGGCATGTCAGGCACAAAGATCTGGAGCTGGAAGGAACAGAAGAGGCCACCTTTGCCAGCTTCCCCATTTTATTAGAGGACCAAACTCAGCCCCTGAGAGGCCTTGTGACTCGCCGAGTTCACCCAGGGAGTGGGTGACAGATCTGGTACTCGAGCCCAGATCTCCTACGAATCACAGAGTTCTTGCTCTGATACCAGGCAGCTTACGTGTTTGGATGAGGGGTAGAGAGAGTCAGGGCTGCTGCAGGTCAGACAAGGGATCGAGCACTCCGGGATGGGTCTGGTCAGGAATCTGCAGCGTGGCTGGGGCGGCTGAGGCACACCTTCACCTGGGCACATCCAGAGGCTTCCATGACATCCCTCTTGAGTACCCCGTCCTTCCTGTCTCCTTTCCCAGTGTGTGTTAAGCTCCTGGAGGACGCTATGGGACAGAGGCTGCCCCGGAGGCCTCGGCCGGGGCCTGGGGAGCAGCTCACAATCTTCCAGTTCTGGAGCCACATCGAGGCCTTGAATAGCCCCTCCATGGAGGCTTATGTCACAGAGACAGCCGAAGAGGGTGAGTCGTCGTTGTTGGAGACACACACACACACAGTCCTCATTGTTGTCACTGAGGTGACTGCTAGCTGTACCTGTGCTGGTGGGCTCCTATCTTCCCTTCACAGTTGTGATGGGGTGGGGCAGGAAGCAGACCCCCTTTTGTCAATATCATCCTAGCCTACCTCTCCCTTCCCTCCCCATCCTTCCTACCTTTCTGTCAGTGTTGATCGTGAAGAACCTGAATTCAGACGACCAGGCCGTGGTGCTCCGGGCACTGAGACTGGCCCCTGAGGGGCGGCTCCACCGGGATGGGCTCCGGGCCCTTAGCTCCCTTCTCATCCACGGTAACAGCAAAGTGATGGCTGCTGTCAGCACCCAGCTTCGAAGTTTAGCCCTGGGCTCGGACTTCCGGAAGAAGGTCAGGGACGGACCAAAGGGCCTGGGCTTAACACAGTGGGCACAGGGGGCTCATTCTGCCCTTTCTCCTTCTACCCCCAGGCCCTGCTTTGTTTTTTGGAACAGCTAGAGGATGAGGATATGCAGACACGGGTGGCAGGGTGCGTGGCTCTGGGCTGTCTCAAGGTAATGTCCCTCCAGACTTCCTGCTCTCCCCCCTCCAAAGTCCCCATACTGTATTGACCACTCCACTCCTCTGTGACCATTCCACTGCCTCCTTGCTAGGCTTCTACTCCCCACCCCCCACCCTTGTCCTTTCCCCATTGCTTTGATCCTATCTGTTTTGCGACCTTCTCTGTCCTCAATGCCTACGCCTGCCTGGGTCCCGTTCCCATGATTGTTTCAGCTCTTTTAACATTTCACGCTTTGTCCTTTCTCCAAACAGGCTCCAGAGGGCATTGAACCACTGGTGTATCTGTGCCAAACAGACAAGGAGGCTGTGAGGGAAGCTGCCCGGCAGAGCCTCCTGCAGTGTGGTGAGTGTGTTATGGTTCTGAGCTGCTCTTCATGACCAAGTCCTGGAGGCAGAGACGGGGGGAAGGGAGGTGGTCACACGAGGCGAGTGGGAAGGAAAGGCAAACCCGGACGGGGAAGGACTGCTGGGCAAGAGGACGTTACTTGACCCTGGCCTACTGTGCCTTTTCTAGGGGAGGATGGGCAGTCAGCTCACCGACGGCTGGAAGAGTCTCTGGAAGCTCTGCCCCGGATCTTCGGGCCAGGAAGCATGGCCAGCACCGCATTCTGAGCTCCCTATCTGCTCTCTGTCCCAGGAACACAGGGGACTCGGGAGTCACTGCCTATTCCCTCAAGCCCCTCCCCCTACTACCACCTTTCAGGGCTGGCCCTGCCCTGGGAGCCCCCAACCTGATGGGCCCAACTGACATTGGCAGGGGTAGGCTGGGTGTCAGGACCCAGGCTCCAGGGTTCCCTCCCATCCTACAGATTCCTATAAATATAAATCTCTTTAATATATTCTTCTGCTACCCCTAGCAGAGACCGCCACCTGCAGTCAAGTGCCTCCCCAGCCTCCATCAGGCTTCCCTCACCACACGGTGTCTGGGATCCCTTCTAATCCCTGGTCACCCCGCCTCTCCCCTTCATGTCTGATTTTGTATTTTATTTAGAGTTTTGCAGAAAATAAAAGGCAAAATCTCTTTCCTATGCTGGGCAGCACCACCATTGTGGAGCACCCTGTCTTGCCTATCCTCCAACTCTAAACTCATCAAGGAAGAGAGGAGACTTGGAGAATCTGTGTCTTTTACTTCACCCATACTATTGTCACTGTTTCCCTGGGGACCCTGGTGTGTATTTCTGCCTATGCACCAAAAAGTGTGTTGATATAAGCAGAAGAATGTGTACCCAATAAGAGCTCACAGTAACATTTACAAAGCATCACACACACACACACACAAAACCTTTGAGGCAGGTATTGCAGGCTCTGAGACTAATTTTGCCCAAGATCACACAGCTAGTAATTGCCAGAGGAGGAACGTGAACCCAGATTATGTAAGCTAGCAAAGATCATCTTGTCTGACCAGGAATCCTTTGACTCCACATCTAGGGCTGCTTCCTGTAGAACTTGATGCCTCTAGAAGTATAACGTACCAAGAAGCAGGCACAAAATAATTGTATAAACAAGCATGGAGATCTGAGCTCTCTTCCTTCCCCCAGCCCAGCAAGCTAGTGGGAAGGGTGGTCACAGACTATGGGTCTTTAATTTTGTTTGCAATTTGCCTTTGAACTAGTTTGGAGACCAGGCCTGAGCTTCCAGGTCCCTTAGTGTGGCCAATACTAGGAGCTCAGGACCCTGGACAAGGATGGATCCCAGGAGCCAGAGGACTCTTGAGAGGATGGGGAATATACTGGAAGTGGTGGGGGTGGGGGTGGGAGGGAAAGGGCGAAGTAGAGACCAAAAGATAAAGGAAAGCCCCAAGAAACCAAAATCTGGAAAAGGAAAAAAAAAAAAAGCTAAAGTGGGTCTGGATACTGAAGCAAGCTAGGACAGACTGAACCGGTTTGGTTAGAAGAGCTGGACCTCCTCCAGAGGGCGCCAAAGTCTGTGTCTGAGCCAGGCAGAGATGAGGAGACTTCAGTGCAAGGGAAGGGCCTGGCAAGGAGGGTGAGGATCAGGTGAGTAGGGCCCGAACCTAGGAGTCTCATTAGGATTTCCCTTCTCACTAAGAGAAGGAGCCATGAGTATGAGGGGGACTGATGGGGAGAGTGGGGGAAGCCAAAGATCAGGACTATGGGGAAATGGAAATAAGAGAAGGCTGTATAGTAGAAACATACTTTATTTCAAGTCATAGGACCTGGGTTCAAATCCTTACTCTGTGACCTTAAGTAACTGCTTTTATTCCTCTGGGTCTCAGTTTTTGCTGCAAAACGTTGAGGCTGGACAAGCTGATGTCTGTTCCAGCTCCAGTTTCCATGGGTCCCATGAATACCGTCACCTGAGAGGACCAAAGGACCAAGAGTGTCAGAGATGTGTGAGGGAAGGGGGACAGTAGGGAACGTAAGTGCCTTCTAAAGAGCCTCAAGGCCAGGGATGGTGGCCCACAAATAGAATTCCCCTACCCCAAGAGCAGAAGGCCACTAGACTGCTGAAGAGAAGCAGACCAGTCCAGCTTGATCTTCTGTACGGATTAGTATTGGAGTCAGGCTCATGAGTGATCACAGCACTTCAGGCTGGGGCAAGATAAAGAGCAATGATCGCAAAAAGATTTTTTAAAATAACCAATAAAGAGCTTAAAGTTAGGTTCTCATAGGAGCAGGGATCCTATGATGAACCTTGAACTGCAGTGTCTCTGTAATTCACTCTTTTTATGTTACCAAAGTACTCGGTGAAGTGGCACCCCAGGTATTCACTAATCTAGAGCAGCCAACTCCAGTCCAGTGGAGGCCCTGAAAGGGTTACAAAGGGAGGTTTGGAGAAGGATGGCCTGGTAATAGGAGTGGGGAGGTGAGAGCTCCATAGAGACCTGGAGTTACAGAAATCGGGCTGGAGGGGGACGTAGCTGAGGCTGCAGAGGCAGGGGAGAAGGGGAAGGTGCCAGTTCACATCAAAGACTCAGCAGCGCGTAGGAAGGCCTGGGAAATAACAGCCTGATGAGCCCTCAGACCCCAGAGCTCAAACCACGATTCCTCCTTACACCCTTTCCCAAACCATTCCATATCTTACTCCTGTATTTGTCTTAGGTGTACCCATGTGTCATGTGGAAAGAAGGAAGACATTTGGGGAGGGGGTTCCCTTACATACTCTACCCAGTGCATTCCATTCTTCTCCCTTCTTTTACATGTCATTAAGACATCCCCTCCCCTGCCTTTACAATGAAGGAGGGGCTGAAAAATCTGTATGTACTAATAGCAAATATACACATGCTTACTGTGTCTGCTTTCAGGTCTGTGTGTATACTATAAACTTGTTTCCAGAGTTAACACCCCTTCTACTTCAGACCCATCATCATGGTAACCTCTTTGTGTGATAATGTCCCTCATGGGGACCCCCCCAGTACATCCTGATCCTCTCCACCCCCAAAAGAATTGTGGTGGATAAGTTGGAGGGAGTGAAGGGGGTGGGGGGCTGGCTTTGGCCCTTAACCACCTGCTGGGGAAGTTGAATAGAGTAACAAGCCAACAGGAACTTTCACAGGAAACACCTGTGGTCAGGATGCAAGAGTGGTCCCTGGGCTCAACGAGTCTAGCTGAGGCAGGAAAATGAGGGCACGGGAGGAGCCAATGTGAAGTCTGTGGTGGCTGGGACATTCAAGTTTTTTGCCTATACCTATGAGGAGTTTTCTCTCATTAGGACCCTCAGGGGCCATGGAAAGTCTATGTGTGTATAACCGAGCAGGCTTGTGGTGGCTGACTGGGGAAGAAGTGGGGGAGGGTAGAGAAAAATGGATGTGGGTAATAACAAGAAGCACCTTAAAAGAAGAATAAACCTTTGAAACCATGATGGTATGAAGTGGAACCTCCCCAGAAACTTCTCAGGACAGAGACAGAATAAATCTTGAGGGACCACCAGCTGGGATCTGCCGGCCCAACATTAGGGTTTGTCCCTCAGTCCAGAAGCTCCTAGCAAGGAGACCTGGAGTCTGGGGTCAATGGAAGTATCAGGGTAGAGCCAGGATCACTAAGGGGGAGGGCCTAGGAAACAGGAGGAAGAAGGGACCATCTCTGGCTACTCTAGCATACCAATTCAAAACCAAGGCATCACCACTTGTGTAAGCCAGAACTCTTTTCCTGGGACCTCTGGCTCCCAGCATCTCTAAAGAGAAATACCTGGGGTGGGGTAAGACTCTGGCAGAATCCTACCCAATCCTTCTCCCCCTCACCAGGGGGTCTTGGCAAAGCACAGGAAATATGGGAAAGGCATTCACTGAAGAGGCTTGAAGGATGGGGGTAGGGAAGAGGGTAAAAGTCAAGAAAAGAGCATCAGATTTGAAGTCAGAGGATCTTGACTCAAATCTTGTCTCTGCTGATTGCCACCCTGTGACTTTGGGCAAGTCACTTACCGAATGCATAAACTAGTGGAAGTGAAGTAGGTGCTGGACTAGATGATTTCTGAGGTCTCTTCCAGTTCAAAATTCACAGTAATAAAACTAGCATTTATAGAGATTTAAGGTTTGCAAAATACTTTATAAATATTATTTCATTTGATTCTCACAATAACCCTGGAAGGGAGGTGCTATTATCAACTCCCTTTTACAGATGAGGAAACGGAGGCAGGCAGAGGTTAAATGACTTTCCCAGGGTCACACAGTTAGTGTGTGAGGCTGGATTTGAACTCAGGTCTCCTTGATTCCAAGTCCACCTGTCTACCTGCTGCACCTCCTAGTTGCCCACAAATGCTGTGGAAGAACCAGGACGGCATTGGAGCAAAGAAGGTTAAAAGTAGGTCTGAACAGTTAGGAGCAAGGGTAACTGGGAACAAGAGAAAGTTAGACTTTATTTATGTATATGTGGGAGGAAGAAGCACAGCAGCAGTAAATGTAAATGAGCACGGGCAATGAGGCATGAGAGACAAATAAACTCGGGAGTGGTGAATTCAATAATTGTGCTAAAATGTGAACAGATAGGATAATCCCAAAGCACATAAAATGTCTCATTCCCCATAGGGGCCAGGGCTGCTCTGACCACAGTGGGTGTTAGTTACGCTAAGGGGCAATTCAACAAAAACACAGGCACTGAAAGCTCTGGACTGCAGATCCACATTCCTACATCCCTAGGCTCATGGGAATATTTTCTGCTTCACTCCAGTAAAACCCTAAAGGGCAGCAAAAGTGTCTATATCCCTAAAACAGTAGTTCAGTAAGGTTTTGTTATCAATAAGGTGGTTGTACGGGTCTAAATAAATGTGAAGGGCTTAGCACAGTGCCTGGCACACAAGTGCTATATAAATGTTAGCTGTTATTGTTGTTAACATTTTTTTCTTTTTTAAAAATTTTACTGTATTTTTTTACATGACTACAACTTTCCACAGATCCCAACAGATCCCTCTCTTGTAACAACTACAGTTGAATAAAACAAATCAACACATTGCCTATCTCTAAAAATTTAATCCTAGTTCTGCACACATGGTTCATCACCTCTGCTGACACAGGCACACCTCTCTGGGCTCTGAGGTCACAATTGGCCTCTGGCCAGAGTTCTGAAAGTTAATAAAATGCTCTTCCTAGCCTCCCACCTGCCTTTTCGGTGTTGCCCTGTGGGGGTCCCACCAAAGAGCTCCGGCTCATCCTCTCACACTCACCTCTGCACCCCTGGCCCCTGAGATCAGGTATCAAATCAAGTTCCAGTCACCAGCTAATAAGACTGGTGACAGCTAAGCCAAATGGACCTGGAAGAAAAATGTGACCTAATGTTTAAACGTGTCCCCACCATAGCAGACTAATCAAGGGGACAGTCCTCTGATTCCACCCAGAATCTCTGAGAGGAAAGCCAATTCATGCCCAGAAAGGAAAGATACAGAATGCCCTTCCCTCTCTCCCAACGAAACTCCTAAAGAGGAGTCTCGTGGATGGCTCTTATGCTGCCCGAAGTCAGCAGGGTGAATAAAAGCCATGGCCACTGGTCCAATGAGTTTGCCACTTCCACATCCAGCCAGATCAATCAATCAACATGCATTGATTAAGTGTTTATTATATGCCACCACAGTGTGCTATGCACTGAGGACACAAAGAATAAAAAAAGTAGGCTCTGCCCTCACAAGGATCTCACAGTCTAACGGCAACAATATCTACATATGCATAAGATATATGCAGAGTATGTGGAAGATGATCTCAGAGGAGAGGGACTGAGCAGCTGGGAGCACTGGAAAGGCCACCTTTGAGGGAAGCCAGGAGGTGTATATAAGGAGGGAGAGACAGGTCCTGGAACAGCAGCTCTAGACCCTGGAAGTGCAGCGCATAGAGTGCTGGGCCTGCAGTTAGCAAGACAGACCTGAATTCAAATCCGGCCTCAGAACACTTACTAGTTGTGTGACCCTGGGCAAGTCACTTTACCCTGTTTGCCTCAGTTTCCTCATGTGTAACATAAGCTGGAGAAGACAGGCAAACCCACTCCAAGATATTGGCCATCTTTAAACAAATACAACAAACAGCAGTTTACCCACCTAGGACAGAGGGTGGGGTCAGAAGGGCTCCAAATAGCTGTGACAGCTGGATAAACAGCTAGGTAAGCAATCTCAGGACCCAAACCGGACAGAGACTATATACCTTCTTGGAATCAAACAGTGATAATACCAGCACCTAACCTTCATGCAGCACTTAACTATGTGCCAGGCACTGTATTGAGTGCTTTACAATTACTATCTCATTTCATCCTCACAACAATCCTGGGAGCTGGTCTTCCAGGACCTAGTCTCACCTCTTCTGGAGGAGTTAAAGGGAGAGTAGATAGACAGGGATCATTTACCTTTTTTTATTTCCTGTCTCTGTTTTCAAATCAGTCCCCAGATGTTTCTGGGGTGTGTGAAAGAGGGCTCTTTTCGTACTTTGCTATATTATTATCCCCATTTTACAGATGAGGAAACTGAGGCAGAGGACAAGGTCATCCAGCTGGTATCTGTATCTGAACTCAGGGCTTTCTGACTCCCAACCCAGCTCTAGACAGTGTGCACGCAAAGTGCTTTGTAAATGACAAAACTCTATAAATATCAGCCATTAGGAACGCAAATTGTTCCCTCAGTGGCCTAGGAATGAAGGTTGCACCTTGCAAGATCCATGGCTGAAAAAGAAAAATGATTGGTCTGATATATTAACCCAGAAACAAGCCTGGGTCCTCTAAGGTCACTGTTTGCTTGAGTCTATCTGAGAGAGGGGGGAAAAAAGTACATAAAGCAAGGACCCAGGCTTGTCACTGGTGAAGGAGTCTGATTGCTCAGGGAGCCTTCTGCCAGGACTTCATGGACCCCCTCAAGAAAACACGGCTTTTCCAGGAAGAAGTCACTGCCAGAGAAGAACACGGAGATGGGGTCATTTCAGGAGGAGTATGTCTGCCTGAGGAGCAATAATGCCAAAAGGAAAATTGAGTGGAAACCTCAGTGGGTCAGTCAATGCATGGGGTACAGGAATGAGGAAAATGAAAGTGTGGAGGCCAGCACCGGGACAGGCACTGTTGCCAGGCAGAGAAGAGGGACTGGGCATTAGGAGTCTAACACTCAGCTTCTAGTTCTGTCACTCACCATGTGGCCAGACGAGTCACTAAATCTTGAGGCCTCAAAATTTCCTCTCCCATAAAAGAAAGGCATGGGGCTAGATGACTTCCAAAATTTTTTCTTACATTTTTAGTAGCAGGCAGAGTCAATCATAAGATCACCATGACCTCCTCCCTAGGCAGACCAGAGGACTGCCAGCTAGTGCAATCCCCTCATCCTGCAGATGAAGAATCACATCCAAATGCTTTATTTCAGTCCTTGCCCTATTTATCCTTTTTGCAACATCCTAGAGGTGACCTACTTCTTGAAACTCTATCCTCCCTTGGTTTCTGTGACACTGCACCACCCTGGTCCTCTTCCTGCCTCCCAACTGCCTTGAAGAGAATGACGGTCTAAAGTCAAAGACCAGTTCAAGGCCTGGCTCTGACACCCACCAGCTATGTGACCTCGGGCACCTGATTTCATCTTGCTATGCCTCTGTTTCCTCATCTATAGAATAAAGATCATTGCATTTAACTAACCTGAAAAGTTGTGAGGAAAGCTTTGTAAACCTGATAGCTCCATCTAAATATTAGCATCTTTTATATCTTCATGCCCATTTACTGGGTACTCTTAAATACTCAATAATAGTAACAGTAAATTACTATTGGCCTATAGTTCTTCTCTCTACCCATTCCCAAAGAACTTCATCAACTCTCATGACTTTGCCATCTTTTCAATGCCTCACAATTCTACATTTCCAGCTCTTCCATTCTGCATTTCAAACTACTCTGATAATGTCCTTTTATTTTTGATGTTTTCAAAACTTTCCTCATTATCTTTTCCCCAAAATGGGCTATCAAGTTACCATTCTATATCTCTTTCCCCCATTAAACCAGTAGTCACCTACACTTATTGCCTCCAATTAAAAAAAAAAATTCAATTATTTTATCTTCAGGTCTAACTTCTCTCCCTCCCCCCACTGAAAAGGCAAGAAAAATCAAATCCATGTGTATAGTCAAGCAAAACAAGTATCTGCATTAGCCATGTTTTTCAAAAATGCCATAATTTGAACTGAGTCTACCACTTCCCTGCCTGGAAGTGAACAGCGTGCTCCATTAGGAGTCCTCTGGGATTGTGGCTGGTCATCGTGTTGATCAGAGTTCTGAAGTCTTTCAAAGTTGCTTATCTTTCTAATGTTGTTAAAGTATACATTGTTCCCCTGGTTCTGCTCACTTTACTTTGAATTAGTTTATATGAATCTCCTCAGGTTTTTCTGAAACCATCCCCTTTTTAAAATATATGTTAATTCCATTAAATATCCCCCAATTACATGTTAAAAAAATTTTAACATTCATTTTCAAAAACTGAGTTACAAATTTTTTCCTTCCTTCATCTCCCCCCTCCTTGAGATGGCAAGCAATTTGATATCAGTTATACATATGAAGTTATGCAAAACATCTCCACATCGGCCATGCTGCAAAACAGAGATGAAAAATAAAGTTAAAAAAAAAAGTATGTTCAATCTACATTTGGAGTTTATCAGCTCTTTCTCTGAAGGTGGATAGCATTTTTCATCATGGGTCCTCTGGAATTGTTTTGGATCATCATCTTAATCAAAATGGCTAAGTCTTTCACAGTTAATCATCCTTATAACACTGCCTTTATTGTGTACAATGTTCTCCTGGCTCAGCTCACTTCACTTTTCATGAGTTCACATAAGTCTTTCCAGGTTTTTCTGAAACCATCCTGTTCATCATTTCTTATAGCACACTACTATTCCGTGGTATCCATATACCATAACTTGTTCAGTTACCCTCCAACTGATGGACACTCCTTGATTTCCAATTCTTTGCCACCACAAAAAGAGCCACTATGAATATTTCTGTATATATTTTGTCTACACTTCTTACCTCTGTTTAAAATTTTTAAAAATTCAATTATTTTAATTTCAATTATTTCTGACTTATTTCTTTGATCTCTTTAGGTTACAGACATACTAGTGGTATTGCAGAGGGAAAGGGTTATACACTGTTCAATAGTTTAGGGGGCATAATTCCAAATGTCTTTTCAGAATGGCTAGACCAGTTCACTGCTCCATTAATAGTGCATCGATATTCCTGTTTTCCCAGTCTCATAAGCATTTGTCATTTCCACTTTTTATTAATTTATTTTGATTTATCAACAATCACTTCCACATGCTTTTGAGTTTAAAATTTTTCTCCCTCTTCCCACCACAGCACACAATCTGATATAGGCTATACACAAACACTCCTATTAAACATATTTTCACATTAGTGATGTTGTAAGTAAGAATTAGGACCAATAGGAGGAACCACCAGAAAGAGGAAACAAAACTCAACAGAAGAAAATAAAATAGCAAATAGTATGCTTCGATCTGCATTCCAACTCCATAGTTCTTTCTTTGGATGTGGATAGCATTTTCCATCACAAAGCCTTTGGAGATGTCTTAGATCCTTGTATTGCTGGGAAGCGTTAAGTTTATCAATATTAGTCATCGCACAACGTGGTTGTTATTGTGTACAACGTTCTCCTGGTTCTGCTTACTTCACACTGCATCAGACTATATAAGTCTTCCCAGGTTTTTCTGAAGTCAGCCTGTTCATCATTTCTTATAGCACAATGGTATTCCATTACATTCATATACCACAGCTTGTTCAGCCATTCTCCAATTGATGGGCATCCTCTCAATTTCCAATTCTTTGCCACCACAAAAAGAGCTGCTATAAACATTTTTGTACATGTGGGTCCTTTTCCCATTTGTAAGATCTCTTTGGGATATAGCCCTAGAAGTGCTATTGCTGGGTCAAAGGGTATGCACGTTTTTATAGCCCTTTGGGCATAGTTCCAAATTGCTTTCCAGTATGGTTAGATCAGTTCACAACTCCACCAACAATGTATTAGTGTTCCAGTTTTCCCATCTTCTCCAACATTTATCATTTTCTTGTTTTGTCATGTTAGCCAATCTGATAGGTGTGATGTGGTGCCTCAGAGTTGTTTTGATTTGCATTTCTCTAATCAATAGTGATTTAGAACATTTTTTCGTATGACTATAGATGGCTTCAATTTCTTCACCTGAGAACTGCCTGTTCATATCCTTTGACCATTTATCAATTGGGGAATGATTTGTATTCTTATAAATTTGTCATTTCCATTTTTTTGTCAACTTTACCAATCTG